AGCCCTGATGCAAAGGCGAATAAAGAGGGTGCTAGCTTACATCCCTGCTTGATTCCCCTGCGTGTGGCTATCTCAAAGCTCTGATCGCTGGCTGTCATCTTGTACAAGGCTTTGATGTGGAGATGGCCTACCACTTCTATCAGAAGAGGATCTGCTTGTTCGGCTTCCAGGGCCTCTCTTAATCGCAGCCTGTTTACAGTGTCAAAAGCTTTGCTCATGTCCACGCTCATGGTGAGACTGCCTCTGAGCTTGAGCCCCTGTTGTCCCTTTTCCTGCAGCCCTAGTGGTGAGTGCCTGTCTGAACCTGGCCTGGTCCACATGTGTGAGGGCCTTGCAGATAGCCTCCTCTGTGCCCCTGCCTGGGACAAAGCCGAACTGAGAGACGCCGGTCATTGCTAGTTGGAGGGTAGACTTGAGTCTCTTCCTCATGAGTCCGGCTAGGACCTTACCCTCAGGTGCTATCACCCCGATCGGACGGAGTGAGGTTGGTTTGTCTGGCTTCTTGGGAGGCTTTGGGAGCCAGGAGATCTGTGACGAGGTGACACTGTCCGAGAGCCTTCCTGCAGTGACTTCCCTATTAACTAATAAGGGTGTCCGAGATTAGCCGGATTGCTTGGGGACCTAGGGAGCGCCAGGCTACTACGGGAGGACTCTCTTTAGGGACCGCCTTGCCCAGCTTTATTGTTCCAAGCTGTTCTTGCACTTCTTGCTCAGTGATGTGCAGGCTGCCTTGTATCCCTGAGAGCGGGAAGTCATCCCCTGCTCCAAACAGGTCTAGGGAATATTCCTCTAATTGTCTTCTTTCTTCCTTAGCAGTAAGGAAGCGACCCTCAGAATCACGAAGCTGAACTCTTTCCTGGGGTCTCCCCGACCTGAAGCGCTTGATTACCTTGTAAAGGGAATGACTCCCGTCCTGCTTGGACTTAAGCTCTGCCTGCTGGAGTTGTTCATCTATTTCCTGCCGCCGCCGCTCCTGCTTGTGACGCTTTGCTACCCTCGCCTGTGCACTTTGCTGGGAGAACGAGCACCAGCATCGGAACACCATACGGACCTGCAGCTCGGGCAAGAACTCTGCTAAGACCTTGGCTGCTAGTGGGAGTGAGCGCAACACAGAGCGCTCTTCCCAGATGCTGAGATCTGATCTTTGTGCTGCTTCCTTTCTCTTGGGAAAGTGAGTCGCGAGGGCTGAGTTCATTGCTTGATGGAGACTCTGCCAGGTTTGGGGATGATCCTGAAGGAGGGAGTCTACCTCCCTGGCAAATGCCTGTATTTTCGGGGAGCGGTGTCTGTAGCAGTCCTCCATTGCCTGCTGGTCATAGGGTTTTGAGGCTTGGGCGGAGTATCTCCTGCTGTGCCTCAGTTTACCAAGAAGAGGGAAATGCCTACTACCATCCCTCCAGGATGCAACTGGGAAGGTCCTTAGTGGCCGGCAAAACCTGGCGGGGCCTTGGGACTGTGCAATCCTGACAAACGAGAAGTCAATCTGTGAAACAGAGTTGCCTTGTTCGTGGGTGGCTGGTCTATGCACTCCCCAAGTGTTGGTTGCGACTAGCTGGTGCTCCGACAGTAGGGTCTGGAGATCCTTAGATCCGCGATGCCCGAGTCTGCAAGCCTGGATCGTGCATGGCCCTACGTGTTTGTTGTCGGTCTTGAGCGAGGAGTTAAAATCTCCTAGCACAAGGAGAGTGTTGCGATTGGGACCAGCTCGGATGGACTTACTTAGGGCGTGAAGGGTCTGCTTCCGGGTTTCCTTATTCTGAGCGACTGTCTCCTTAGAGCGCCAAACGTATTGATAGCAGCTGAAGACGTCCAGTGAGATGCCGTTGCTCGGCACCCGGACCTGGAGAACTCTTCCTGCAACAACCTCGTTGTAGCGAAGATCCTGTGACTTGCACAACGTGGAGTGCACCACTATGAGGACCCCGGCTCCCTTCTCCCCTGTGGAACCAGAGCTGATCACGTGCCAGCCTGACTTGCTGAATTGCCAAGAGCCCCTCTAGTGTGTTTCCTGAATTGCTACCAGCTTCACATCCTGAAATGCTGCACTTTGCAGCACGGAGAGTAACTCTTCCCAAACTGCTGTTGTGGGTGATCCTGCGTTCCAGGATAGATAGCTGAGGTTCTTATCTTCTGTAAATTTCGAAGGCCGAGTCCTTCTGCCGGGATTGGTGGGCTTTACATGTGCCGGAGCAACTCCAAGCTCTGTTGACGACATCGTCCTTCCCTTGTAGACCGCACTACCTTCAAGCAAAGCTTTACGTGCTGCCCTTTGATAAGAGCGTTTACCCTTCCCTTTAGGAACGGGCTGATGCTTGGTCGAACCACTAGGCTGTTTCGCAGCACTCATGTTGAGTACGGCTCCTGTCGGCTTCGCAATACCGACAACCCTCACCTCTGGGAGATGTTAGAGAGCTGTAAATCTAATACTCCCTCCCGGACTTGGGACCGGGACTGCTCAGGCGCTGACAAATGCCATGGCAACAAAGGAAAAAGGCAACTGTACTAGCCTGACCTTTCCTGAGCCGAGAGGCTTACAACAACAACAACAACAACAACGACGACAACATCAACATCAACATCAACATCAACATCAACGACAACAACACCAACACCAACACCAACACCAACACCACCACCACCAACAACACCAGCAACACCAGCAACACCACCAACGTCACCAACGTCACCAACGTCACCACCACCACCAACACCGCCACCGCCACCCCCACCACCACCACCAACAACAACAACAACAACACATACAACAAACCCAGCAACGGCAGCAACGGCAGCGGCAACAACGACAAGCTACAAACAAAAAAAAAACTGCCGCCTCGTCAACCCATGTATCTGTTTTTTGTCTGTACATTAGGTAGAGACAGAAACAGGAGCCCCGTCATGTTGTTTTACCCCCCCCCCCACCGGCACAACAAGAACAACAACACAGTGCCTATGGTGTACAGGATTTGAATGGTTTGCAGAAGGTTTTTTCAATATTCTCAGTGTAATTCCATGGGTTTTGTGTGTATTTGCAAGGATTCTTGTGTGTATTTGCAAGGAGTTTGTGTTTATTTGCCAGATTTTGTGCGTATTTGCAGGGAGTTTGTGTCTATGTCTATGGATTTGTGCATTTTTTCCAAGGATTTGCTACGTATTTCAGTGGATTGGTGTGTATTTGCATGGTTTTTGTGTGGATTTTGTAAGTATGTCCATTGATTTTGTGTGGCTTTGAAAAGATTTTGTGTGCGTATGTCCAAAGCATCACACGTCAAAGCAGCAGACGTGGATCAAGCCCTTCAACATCACAGAAAATCCGGCAATCCCTTTATTTGAACCGTTCGATATCTAATGCAAACCCTTCAAGATTCCAGACAAGCACTTTCAACACGCATGAACCCCTTCTGGATGTCACAGATTCCCATACCTGTGGTGGGAATGTGGTGTAGGCTGGGTGGTTGTTGTAAAGGGGGGGTCAAAACAACAGACGGGGCTCCAGTTTTTGTCTCTACCACAGGGTAGAGACAAAAACTCAATTTCAATGGGGCCTTTGTCTCTACTCTGTGGTAGAGACAAAAACTGGAGCCCCGTCTGTTGTTTTGACCCCCCCCCCTTACAACAACCACCCAGCCTACACCACATTTCTATCATGGGGCAGTTGCTGCGTAAACCATGGCTTGCATTCCCCAAGACTCTACAGGCACCCGATGCGGTCCCCGGAGGCATTCCCAATTGCTTCTCATTAAGAGCAATTGCGGGCTGCTTCTTTTGTCTGTAGCAGCAGCAACAACAACAACAAATTAAATACAACAAACCCAACAACAGCAGCGACTGCAGCAACCATATCATCAACAATACGACGAATCAGGAAAATTGCAATGTCAGCCATTTCCCCAGCAACAGCAAGCCGCCAGCAACAGCAGATAGAAAACTGCAATCCGCTAACAACGCGAACAAGACTGGCAAGACTGTCAGCTAACAACACCAACGAGAAACAGTAGCGCCAGTATGCGTATCGGAACTAACCATTATCAATCGCTCGGGACGAACCAACAAACGATACTGCCGCGTTCAAACTACAGCCTCAAACCTTGGAACCCTCCGCTGAAACCACTGCCCACACCCCATGCGCAACTTAAAGCTAAATCACAAGGACACCCAAAGAACCTGGCAACTACCAGGAGCTTGCGAGCTTATCAGCACCAAGGCGCTGCTGGCTGTGGCCCCCCTTCGCGAGCACCAGGGCTGCAGTCCGAATGAAGTGGAGATCGGACTTGCAAGCCGGCATCTCGCATCGACGTCTTCGACGGCCCATGGCTTTTGGTGCCTCTTGAAGAGGAGACACGCTGGGGTCCTGCTGCTTTTTGCTTCGGGCATGTACGAATATTGGCAGTGGTAGTTGCAGCGGTAAGAGTGGTAATAGTCAAAGCTTAAGGATTTCGGCCTATATGCACCGGTGGTTTGCAGGTTCAGGGCCGGGGGATCGTTCCTGGTGTAATTAGTGCTGGTGCATGCTGTGATGCTCAATGCGTTGTAGCGACTCAAGAATGTCTGTCGGAGCCAAGAAAGATGCGGGTCCGATGAAGAGGAGCGGCGGCCTCTTGGAGAAAAATCGCCCTTCGTCTTACTTTGTGGGGAAACACTTGAGGCCGTCAACCCCCTGCCCGAAAGACTCCGTCGACCCTGCAGAACAAACCCAAGACTGTGACTAAACAACTTCGGTGTGGTTTGGGGTTTGGGGCCTGCGTTTGGTTTATGTAGGGCTTCAGGGACGGGTTACAAGAGAGTGCGAGTTCCCCGCAACCCTAAATCCTAGTTGGAGTTTGTTCTGGGGCCTTCTGACAGTTTCTGTGCAGTGGATAGGGCACCTTATGGCTATCTGGGAGACCGAAACGAATGCCAGCTGAACTCCAGCAGCCCAAACTCTGAACATATCCCAATGTGCAGGAGCTGCACCCTCGGCCTTTTCACCCGAGACGGGCTTCGGGCTCAGGTTCTCGGGCTCAGAAGTTGTCCCGAAGCTCCCTGATCCTGGCGATGGGCGTTTGAAGATACATTCCTCTCGGCAGTTTTGCACCATGAATGATCTTGTTATTTGCTGAGACTCGACGAGTGCTCCACCCATGGCGCTCAAGGTGATATACGTGTTCAGCCGAGCGGCTGTGTGGAAGAGCACGGCACAGTGACGAAGCACATCGCGGAGGAAACCCTCAGCTTCGAGATCCTTCGCTGTGTTCTTGCTTTCGGGGGTTGTATTCGGCTTGTCTGCGGCTGCGAGTACCTCGCCTGCTCGCCTCGTGGCATATCAGAAACTGGGCTCCAGAAGCTTGAAAGCTTGCGTCTTGCATAGCCTTCTGCGATCTGCTTGCTATCAACAGCACAACGCTGTAAGCCACCAGCCATCGTGTCCGGCGTCATAACAGCCTCGTGCGTGTTCGGGCGACAGGTCCGTGGAAGCATCGGATCCGTGGAGTCAAGGGGGCCATCCCAAACCCAAAAATCTACAGGTCTGAGGCCCCGTCAGGTTCGTGAGCATGCGCGTCAGCTCGATCATCAAAGCGAAGTGCTCCACGAACCAGCCCTTGCCCGGGTCGTGACCACGTCTATGCACATGCTCATATATAGATTCGTCTATGGGACCATATGATAAGAAAAGGACTTTTAAATACCTGTATGCATCGAATCGAACCGACCCTAATTTCGAGGGGAGGTCCCCTAGGTATCTAAATCTGATGTTGCGGTCTGACTCCATAGCTAAATAACCCAAGTAACCACGCAAGGAGGGGGGATCTTCCGGGCTCAGCTTGACTGCGGACTCGTGTGCTGCTCCCCTGTGCACTCAAGCACGACTAAGAGCCCTTGGTGAACTTGCTTCTGACCAGCTGGCATCTGTCCCTGGTCCTGTACCCGTTGCATGCACCGCTTGACTTGAAAACTTGAACGGCGTAGCCTGCTCAAGAAATGTGAGCGTCGAACTGCTGACTGCTAATTAATCCTGGAAGTCAAGCAAAGCCGCAGCGCATAAAAACGTCAGTGACTGCTGCTGCTACCTCAGCCGAGAAGCTCACACGACAGGGAGGATGCAAGTTCACAGCGCTCAAACTCCAGCGCGGCTGAGGCACACACACACACACACACATACATGCAACTTACACATCGTCCGTCTTTTGTGGCAGCGTGAACCCGTAGCAATCTGACCTGCGAGCGGGGCGACGGCAAAAACCCCTAAGCTGACAAGTCATCGAAACCAAGTGCTGGGCTCAGTTGTGTCGCGCAGACTTCCTGACATCGTTTCTTCCTTCACCCAGTTACTGTCCTGCAAAGTCAAGCCGAGACGCGGCACAGGGAGGCCTAGGTCCTAGGTGGCAGAGCGGATTTGACGTGAAATGCTCTCCTGCTGGGTGTAAATGTTGATCTTGGACGCTTGAAGTGGAGGCAAGGAAGGGTCGATTGCCTGCAGCGATAAACAAAGGATTCTGGACAGTTCCTCTTCCACTTTGATTGCCTGATTTCATGGGCTACCCTCAAAACTACAATCTTTGTCATCGCCCTTCTGCAAACAACTCCCGACCTAAATCCACGCGCCAGTTCCAAGCACAGGGCCTTCTTCAGGTCATCCACCTGACATCGCACACCAAAAGGACGCAGAACCACTCATAAACACAGAAACACACTGAGGCAATCGATTCAGTGGCGCAGCTAAGGTCGCGGCGTTGGCGAAGGCTCCTTTCACTTGGAACGCATTGCCCGTGGGCTCAAACTCCTCGCCATCCTCGAACTTCATTTGTGGGTCGGCAACTTTTCACAAGAGATGCGAACAAAATAAACCACCCGTCTTGGAGAATGCACAGCTTTCGACAACAAGGACAACATATGAATGCACAACCGGTATCCTCCGAGGGCCTGGCCGTGAGCTGTTTGTCCTGTCGAAGGTCATCGCTGCAAACACGAACTGACAGCAAACTTACAAACTCACTCCAGCAATCCCGAGCCCAGCCCCTCCCCCACATCCCGCACCAGGGCCAACACCAAGCCCGGCCAAGAACTCCACGACAGGGCTAACACGACAGGGCTAACACTGCATGCGCACACAACGCCGTCCTTCCGGGCCAGCCCCCGCACCCAGACGACGGGCTCTGATGTCGCGCCTCACAGAACGTCAAAGGCTGGTATCTCGAAACCTCCAGCTCCATGGTCACACTCCGAAGAAGCACACACCATGACATGTGCACGAAGGCCAGAGAACGTGCTTCTGCAAAACGGAAGCAGAGAACGATGACAGACAAAACAAGACAAGACTACAAGACTTCTCACCCAGTCCATGTTGCGGAGCTTCATTTGGCAACCATGTGAGCCATGCGAAACTTGAACTGTGAGCCTTGTCCTGCTTGTGGTGCAAGCGGTCTTCGACCCGTGCACAAGTACTCATCTACGTCCACAGGTCGCCACCTGCCGATTTGATCCGGAACTTGGGTCATGTTCAGAACCGCGTCGATGATCTGCTCGTTGGAACGCAATGGGTTGTTCTGCACGTGCTTCCGAGCCTCCATGCGTTCCCATCTGTAGCTGCGGGCATCGTTTTGTGCCCAAGCTCGGGAGCGTGCTCCATTGAGATTGGCTACCTCCTGGACAGCTTTTTCAGATTGAGTGACGACGAGCAGGTGGTGACCACAGTCAAAGGCATACCTGGTGAGACCCAACAGCAATTCTTGTTGTCCATGCAACCCGCGATCAAAGGTGTTGTCAAAGAGGATCTGCAAACGGATGCCACGAGCTTGTAGCAAATCAAACAGCACCGAAGAAACTTGCACAGCATCTGCAGCATCTGCTACCCGGAAAGAGTCTTTGAGGTTCTTCTGGAAATCTCCCTGTAGAAGCACTCCGACTGAGGACATCGGCATCCCATTCCTGAGTGCCAGCGCCGTGGCAGTAGACTTGCTAACGCCTGGTTCTGCTTGCACTAAAGAAACACCAGTTGTTCGGTTGTCAGCCAAGACAGTCATCATCAACTGCTCGAAGCTTGTATTTTCAATTGGCTTTTAGGTACTCTTTGCGATTTCGGAATAATGCTGTTGCCACTCTGCCACTCTCCTGTGCCTTCCCCAGACTTTCAAACAGTTTCTGAGCATGCTGTTGCACATCCCCAACAGCCGAATATTGGCAATCTCAGCTTTGTAATAGTCCATCTGCTTGTTGATGAAATCAACACGGGCTGTTGCAGCTGACGCAGCACCAAACACTGCAGCTGGGTCAGCGGCGACCCCAACGGTTCGTGGGTGCGCGCCGTCTCTTTTGGCATGCCAAAAGCCAACAAATCCGCAAAGCTCGAGGCTTACATGGGTGAACATGGCAAAAACCACCATTCTCTGACATCTGCGCGCCATGATAATCGAGGCACGCCTTGTCTTATTGCTTCTCAAGTAAGTATTTCACCTTGAACAAGCATTGGACATGTTCTCTTCTGTATATGTCCCACTGGTCTTTATAATTCATGGCCTCCGTTCTGCTGCTGCGGCTCTAAACTCTAAATTGTGAAGCAACCGCTCTTCCAGAGCCGAGCCTTCGCAAGCACAATTCAGTTTCAAGCCGCCCGTCAGCCCGGCACATGTGGTTTTTTCTAGCACCTAAAAGCATGGAGTCGCAAGAGCTAATTTCAAACTCCAGCGCTGCTGAAGCACACGCATGCAACTCACACATCGTCCGTCTTTTGTGGCAACGTGAACCTGTAGCAATCTGCCCTGCGAGCGGGGCGACAGCAAAACCTCCAAGCTAAGCTGAAAAGGCATCGACACCAGGTGCTGGGTTATGCCGCGATTGACTTCATTGTCTTCGTCTTCCTTCAACCAGCCCCCATCCTGCAAGCCGTCAAGCGGGGGTTGACGCGAAATGCTCTCCTTCTGGCGGAGATATCCAGTTGGAACGCATCGCACGTCACAGTCTTTGGGTTTTCGTTGTTGAAGCAAGGCTCAGCAACGGCTCAGTGGAAAATGAAAACGCAATTCCGCTTCAGCTTTGATTGCCTGATTTCATGGCGAGCGGGTTTGGCATGACTCCGTCTGGCTGTAAATGTCGATCTTGGACGCTTGAAATGGAGACAAGGAAGGGTCGATTGCCTGCAGAAATAATGTGAGCTCGTGATTATTAAAGGTCCCCTCAATAGAGCTAAACTCGGCCCGGCACACAATAATTAAAAGTCCCCTCAATATAGAGCTAAACTCGGCCTGCACGTAATAATAAAGACCCCTCAATGATCCTAAAACCCGTCCCGGCGTAAAATTTTAAGGTTTAGGTAGAGAAGCACTCCTACTACCTGCCGAAAAGCAAACCAGAATCCATGAGGCTTCTATATAGAAACCTCAAGTCTCCAGCTTTCAGTGATTCAGGCCAAAGCTCCAGACTCTGGTTTTGCACGGCTGCCAGATCTATAGTTTTCTTATATAAACCCTTATTAAAAAGCCATCCCAGCAACTTTTCTAACGGGTGGTATACGATAGCTGCCGACCCCACAATAATTCGGATGAAAAGGCCCCCTCAATAGTGCAGCGGCCTGCCAGGGGCCTCCAGAACAGCAAACCAGAATCCCTTGCTGTATTGAAAACCATAGGGCTTCTATATAGAAACCTCAAGTCTCCAGTCTGCAGCCTTCAGGGATTCAAGCGAAAGCTCCAAACTCTGGTTTTGCACGGCTGCCAGATCCATAGTTTTCTTATATAAACTCTAGTAAAAAACCATCCCAGCAACTTTTCTAAAGGGCAGTATACGACAGCTGCCGACCCCACAATAATTCGGATGAAAAGGCTTCCTCAATAGTGCAGCGGCCTGCCAGGGGCCTCCAGAACAGCAAACCAGAATCCTTTGCTGTATTGAAACCATAAAGCCTCAATGTAGAAACCTTCAAGGATTCAGGCCAAAGCTCCAAACTCTGGTTTTGCACGGCTGCCAGATCTATAGGTTTCTTATATAAACTCCTTATTAAATAGGCCATTCCAGCAACTTCTAAGGCGTAGTATACGATAGCTGCCGACCCCACAACAATTCGGATGAAAAGGCCCCCTCAATAGTGCAGCGGCCTGCCGGGGGGCCTCCAAAACAGCAAACCAGAATCCTTTGCTGTATTGAAACCATAAAGCTTCTGTATAGAAGCCTCAAGTCTCCAGCTTTTCAGTGGTTCAAACCAAAGCTCCAAACTCTGGTTTTGTACTACTAGTACTACTGCTGCTACAACCACTACTACTACTACTACTACTACTACTTCTTCTTCTACTACTACTAATACTACTACTACACTACTACTATTACTGTGCTACTGTGCTTCTGTACTACTGTACTATTGTCCTACTGTACTATGCGATTATACTAGTGTGCTACTACTGAAAGCTCCGGCCCCCAAGCAACCTCGACCTCGGCTCCCCGTTTGGCAGAACCAACTGGATGCTCGTGCGTGGGGGGCTTGTAATTGTGTTTTGCTTCATTAAGTTTGCTTTTCTCATTTTATTTTCTTCGCAAAAACCACCCCATAAAACGATTTCGTCCCGGGAGTCGCATGTGCGATGCGCTGTGGCTCGGGAGTCCGCGGTCGGACTCGAGAGTGGAAGGTTCGGCACTGGAATCGAGTCTGGAGGCGAATTGCAAGCTCTTTGGAGCCCCTCCAGATGCGCGCGTGGGGGGTCCGAGAGTGCAGAATCTGTGCGGGGGGGAAGTGCAGAATTCTAGGGAATGCATGGAAACCGGGGCTGTAGGTGCTCTGTGATGGGGGATGGGACTACCCTCCCTAGAGAGAGTCCGTCGGGTTCCGAGTGGCGGGGAGGCAGATACTCAGCCTCGACCATCCTTCGGATTTGTTCCACGGACCCTGCTGCGCACGCCTTGGCGTCAGCTCAGCGTAGGTATCGAAGACCGGCGCGACGTCCGGCCGGGTGGATGTCGGAGTGGACGAGCGGAACGTCGAGCGCGATGTGCCTTGTATCGGTCCGGGTCGGTCCTCGAGCAGGCGGAAACTGGGCCGGGCGCTCCAAGTTCTCCCGGATAGCGGCCGCGCCTTGTTGGTCCGGGAGCCGGGGACCGTCCGGGAGGGAACAGGGCCCGGTCGGGCGATACTGTCCGGGGACGGATCCGGGCCAGTCGGACCGGGCAGCAAGCACCGAAATGGTGGCTTCAATGTCCCACTGCCCTATGTTCGCAAGAGCATAAAAATTATCTTGCGTGACCTCGGAGAGCAAGACCATGAGGCGGGCGGCTTGGGATATCGGAAGTTCGCGGCCGCCGCGTATACGGAGTCGTCGTCCGCTTCGGACACAAAGTTCACCAGACCTGCCGGAGTTCAGCATCTGAGCGGCGATCGGGACCGGAGGCAGGAGGATCTGGTCCCATCCAGTCCGCAGGTCGGCGCGGAAAGGTCTCCACTGGGCGGGGTCCGCAGCCGGCACATGCTGAGGCGGAGCCGCCGGAAGACCACCAGTAGTCGGAGGATACTTCGGCACGGCCTTGACCGGGACGGAGGCGCTGCCAGCCTCATTCGCCTGGCCAGAACCGGAGCCAGAAGGCGGAGAAGAACTCGGCATGTAGCCGCGCCGCCATGATCCGCAGGGCCATCCGGAGCACCGCCACCAGAGGCAGCCGCACCTTTCGCCACCGCAGTGGGGGCAGAAGGCGGGTCCGAGACCACGGCCGGAGAGGCCGCAGCCGGAACCCGGGCATCCACAGCCACAGCGGGGCCCACCACCGGAGTAGAAGAAGGCTCACCGGGCGGAGAGGCAGCCGGAGGAGCCGAGCGAGTAGCCCCCGTTGATGCAAAACCCGTCGCGGACATGACACCACGGGCCAACTCGCGGAGCGGATGCGATCCACTGAAGCGGCTCATGGCTGAGGCGAGCGGCGCAAAGAAATCGAAGCGGGAGGGCTTGAGAGCTGGAAAGCGGCTGAGGCCGAACAACTGGAGCTAAGCCATGTCCTCACCACTGGTGCGAACGGAAAAAGCTTGCAGCCCGAGCCTGTTCGGGAACGGATCGGGGAGGAGCCACCGCGGGAGCAGCATCCTCAGGATCTGGCCTCGGAAGAACAAACTATAAATAATCAGGAGTTCCAGAGGGGCCGGGCACCGGACAAGGGTGCCGACACCGGGGGAAGACTCCTGAAGAGCGAGGGCAGAAATGAGCCCCAAACTCGGAGCAGCAGTCCTCACCGGCGAGGCGGAAGGACGCGAGCTCGAGGAAGAAGTACCGGACGACTGCCAGAAGATATGCAATCAGCCGGGAATATCAAGAAAGCCCCAGGCCTGCCGTCGACGGCGGCGACGGGATCGACCCCGCCGGCGGCGACGGGGCCGGGAGTCAAAGACGAAGCAGATTTTCGGTTTGCCGTCATTCTGGTGGCTAGACTTCTCTCTGGACAATTACCAGAGTTTCGCAAGGACTCTTGCACCCTTTAAGGGGCCTTGGGGCTTCGCGGCCATGTGGCATGTACTCGTATGGAAGCTTTTGAAAAGCAGAGAAGATCGAGCGCTGTGGTGATCCAAAAAGACACTCGTTGTTGCATATGCTGAAAGACGAAAATTGAACAAGATAAGGCTTTGAGTCTGGGTGGTGAGGGGGTGGGACGGAGCTCAGTGCGACTTCTCGAAATGGGAGTCGCAGTTCTGAAGCTACAGTATGAGGGGGGCAAACGACACTTCCACGTCTCTCAATGCTGCAGCTGCGGGAGGGCCACCAGGCTTTTCAGCACCAGCCGTCTGAAAGCCTGAAGCCCCTCGATGCGGAATATTGCTTGAATAATAGCACAGAGCCCCGTATAGCTTCAGGCAATAATGCGTTAATTCAGGGGCATTGTCGCTCTAAGGGTTTTGGGTCTCCCTGAGGCCATAGTGAATACGTTTCGGCGCTCGCACTCGGACCAGGAGACGCATGTCGTCTCGAGTACATAGGTTGTGGGGCTCATGGTTTAGCTTGTAAATGAGCTATCTACCTGTGGTAAGTTTGTCGCAAACAGTCCAACGCCGAACAAGACACTCTGTGGTTTACCCTCTCACAACTCGGGCAATCCAGGACACTCTCTGTGGTTTACGCTCTCACAACCCGAGTTCGGTCATTAGGATTTCGGGGTTCGATGGTCATCGGAATGCGACGCAGCACACAGCAGGATCCGATTCGCAGTTGAAACCATATCTATCCAATGCCCGCAATAAGTCATCGTGGTGCCTCAAAGCTTCGATTGTTTTTTCAAGCCTGCGCTGGCCAACTCGAAAATGGACGGACGGAGCTGTCTCGGTGTGTCCGGTTGCGGGTTGAACGTAAAGGCTTCCCCCACGCTCCACATTTTCACATTCTGCCGCCCCTGCTGCTTTTAAGAGGACATCCGGAGGCCTGAAGCTGCATCGTGAGCACCCCAGCCCAAACGGTGATGACAGCCTCACATGCTGACAGCATTGTGCACAACGCTGTCAGCGCCGGCCCATCCACGCGTCTTCAAACGAACTACGTATAGTGTACCAGCAGCTGCTTCAAGAGATCGCTGCGCTGCGTTCGCAGCGAGCATCATTTGAGTCAGAGCTGAAGGAACATTGCCGCCTGCAGAGCTCACTTGACAAACAGTGAGGTCAGCCTCCTGTACAAGCCTCGAGATGGCGGACTAAGCATCCCAGTATCAGGTTCACTAGCACAGAGTACCGTGCCGGGTCCTACCCATGCTTGCCATTGCGCCAGAGTGCAAAGTAGTAAGCGACAATAAGTAAGGAGCCCTATGAATAATCATATTACTCATTATTCCGGCACGTATGTTTTTCTTTACGGAGACCTGGTACGGGGAACAAATTCACGGAGAGTCTCCGATTCTGATGACCAGGTTTCCTGGACAACAAGCGACAGCACGGTGGCGGTGCAGGCGAGTTGGAAGTGGCCGCAGCAATAGTCGCCTGCAGCAGCAACCATGCAACCATGCAACCCTGCAACCCCGCCCGCGTATAGAGCCTGACCACACGAATCACAATGGGGCTCCCTGCGCTTCTCCTCCGACCAAAGGCCGAGACATCTCGCAAAGCATCTCGAGCGGAGCAGCCGAGGCAGCTTGGGTCCTCGTGTTGGTGGCAGTGGTACGGCTGGCAGCCCTTGTGCTCGCGCTCGCAGCAATACGTCTTCTTGTGGTACGACCATGTACGACCTCAGTTGATCGGAGAAGCAAGTCAGCAGGCGCCGTAGAACCGTCGAGGCTCCGGCCAGCCGTGCTCCCAATTGGAGTAGCCTGCATCGCAGTCGTATCCGCCATGGCCGGCATGATGGCCCATGGTGTGCACCACCTCGGCATGGCATGCATCACAGCATCACAGGGCAAGGTAAAACCAAGACACGGATCCGGATCGGCAGCAGGCCCATGCCAGTTGCCCCTACACGCGATTCGTTGCCGTTTGAGGCTTTGAGGATCGTGCAGTGGCACTCGACATGCTGTGTAGGGCGCAGACAGTGCGAGCGTGCCACTGGCCGTGCGCCATGCCAGGGCAGATTAGATGGTGGTGGTCCTGTCGTGCTCGAGGAGGCCACACGAAGACATGCGCCACCCCACTATATTGCATTGAAGTCTACAGGATCTTTAAGTTTCGGAGTGGCAGCTGAAAGGCCAAAGAAGGCAAACTTGCGGTGCCAGTATGGCAGGACTGCTGGATGCAGATGAATGCAATCTCGGTTCAAGCAAGACGGAGCCACGCAGCACCACGATTTCTGGACGCGGGACCAGCCATGATACCAGTTGGACAAGCCCGCGTGGCAATCCTCAGCACAGGTCACTCAGAAAACTAATCTGGGTGACAAAAACGAACGGCGAGTCGCACAGTGCTTGAGGTGCTGCACACCAGTAATGGTCACCACGTGGTGATGGTGCCAAGATCCTTCCGGCTTCATTCAAGTTTCTTCGGGCCACCCCGTTTTCTGCACCGGCACTCCACAGCACGACCACAGCAACAAGTGTCCTGGGCAGCCCAGGTGCTGGTGCGCGCAGCACCACTGCTTCCTGCAGATGCCGTGCAGAGCTCGTCCCGCACATGCTGCTCAGGGCAGCACCCGGGCATACTTCCAGCAAAGCCACTTCGTGCCCGACCAGACGTAGCACCACTTGCCGAAATGGGAGTCGCAGTTCTGAGGCTATGAGGAGGGCAGACGACACTCCCGGCCGTGTCTTTCAATGCTGCAGCGGTGGCAGGGCCACCTTTCAGTACCGAAGGTCTGTGCCGAGTGTCGTAGTCATGCACAGTGTTGACGATGTGGGGAGGCGACGGCACGGGCACGTCCACATAGTGGCCTCACGAGGGAAGGAGTCAAGCTGAACTCGACCTCCTGGAAGCTTGAGCATTGAGGCTGTCACGGTGGCCCTGAACTTTCACGGTGTAGGGCTTCTTGACGGTGATGACCTGCGGACCCCCGCTGTCGAATGGATATCATGCCGCGGAAGGCACTGTGCCTGGGGAGGCTCCTTGACAGGATAAGGCACGTCCTTGTTGATAGTGACCTGGTGCAGTACTTCTCGGAGCCCTCCCCCGCAAGGCACTCTGCATGGCTGACAAGAACTACTTAATACATCGGCTGCTGCAGCTCGGCCCCCGGCGACCTTGTGGATTTTGGGCCCCGGCGCCGGCACGTGCACGTACTTCGGCGGGCTCGGGACGCGGTAGACTTGCGGGCTTTTGTGGATGATCTGAGTTGCCGAGTCGAGCGTCTTCGAGCCCAGCGCAACCCCGGATCGCTAGCCGCTAGCCGGCGTGACTGATTGCTGCCTGCGTATATAGTATCATGTACTTGCAGTACACTGCATCGAAGCCAAGCGGCTGAAGGACTCCGCGGCTCCTGCAACGGCACCGGCACATGCAGCTTCCTCAGCAGCCAGAGTTGGCATGTTAGGAGCTGCGCGAGTGGCCAGAATGAGAGGCCAGTCAAGCTGCTGAATCTTGGTCAGGTGGTGGTAGATGTTGCGGTCAACCACTTGCTTTGGGCAGCCCTCACAGGGCAGCAGTCATAGAACAGGCACAGTCGCCGCATGCAGGCATGCAGCTACAGTCACGCGCGACGACATGTGCGTGAGTCCTCCTTGTACTTGTAGCAGCACCACCTCTTGTGCGCGCCGGACCACATTTCGTGGTCGTAGTCGCCGCCGTCGTGGTGAGCGTTGGGCTTCTGATGAAGAGGGACGTAGATCAGAAGGCCGGCTAGAGTAGGGACTGAAAAGCAAATCTCTCGAGCAAGCCTGAGGGCGTTGCAACAACGTGCAGGGTGTGGATGATGGGCGCAGGCCGCGGCATCTGCACCTTCACCTGGCAGCCCGGATAGAAGGGCAGTGTGCCATGGCAAGCATTGCAACTGCAACTGCAGCCAAGGGACATGGTGATTCACCGGAACCCTCCTCATGCCAAGCATCCACATGTCAATAAAGGATCGCCAGGATCGCAGACAAACTTACGGCCAACACTCGCTCTTCCATCCTCGCACCAGCTCACAGTTCACAGCCTCTAGCATCCTTGTGGGGATCCTTTAAGGAATGCCGGGGAACCTTACGGAGAAGCGAAAGGCACGCCGGGCTGCGTCGAGTTCGCACAAAAACGGGAGCCCCGGGCTTCTTCTTCAGGTTCTGTTGCAGCCAGCACAGCTGAGCAGTCCTGACCACCGTGTTGTAGTGGCGCCGGACCACCACGCGAGGCGCCTCGGCATCGCAGCTTCCGCAGTGCTGCTCGCGACACAAGTGCCCCGCATCCTGCAAGGCCTCGGTGGTCGTGACCACGACGGGGTCATAGCAGTTGACTCCGCACTGGGAGCAGCAGAAGTCCGCCTCAGACACCGTTTGTTGCGCAGGCCCTCGTGGGTGGCCCGTGCACGGCCTTCAGCCGCAGCCGCTGAGGCCCACACCGAATGCGACCTCACGGCCGGCACGCCCCGAACGCTGTTCATGAGCATCGGGCTGCGCGGTGCCGCCAGACAGGTGGCATTCTTTTGCTTCGTGCAGCTGCGCTGGCCTGCTCTGCAAATGCCTCTCTACCAGACGCTGCCGGTGCACACTAACCAAGATCGCTCTGAGTAGGGCACTGAACACGAAGCCGCCACCCCCACCTGGCAAGAAGAAAAGCCCCCTTTGCTGCGGGCCCGCTTTTGTGAACACAACTTCCTCAGGCCTGGGCTCACCGGGGGGCCGATTGTGAGCGTTGGCCTGGCGTCCACCAGCAACGGACAGCTAACATGTGCCAAGCCTCAAGACATCGGAACCCCAAAGCTCAAAGTGAAGAGCGAGCCTGGGCGGGGGCCACAGCTGATGGCCTCAGAATCAGCCGGGGCACCCACCTGAATCCTGTAGCCAGGTGCCAAAAGGCACCCCAATCCGAGGTTTCGACCGGCACGGGCGACTTTGGTGCAAACGCTTCTCCTGCGGAGTTCAACATATGCAGTGGAAGCCTGCAGCCGTGTGCAGTTTCGCACGCGTGCTGTCACAGCCCCCGTCCGCGCCAGGCTCTGAACAGAATGCCGATGCTCGCCTGCAGGGGTTCAGAGTCCATGAAGAGGGCGTGCCGCACGGCCCACAAACGGTTACGGCCATCCGGCCTTCTTGGCTGCCATCTGTGCGAGGCCCTGGCGTGTGTGCAAGAACATCAAACATGGACAAGCCTCCTCGGCCAAGCAAGTGTCATCATCACATGCCGGACAGCACCGCAGAAAAGCCGTCTGCACGGTTCAGCAGCACCTCGGCATTCCGACTTTCCTGAGGAACTAACCAAGTGACTCTGGTAGTTTTTAAACTACCAACAAACCCCGAACTTCAGACGAAGAGAGGTGTCAAGGGGCGGGGCGGTTGTCAGCAAGCCATGAAGAAGCTCTCAGGAGGACGGCTTGCGATTTTGATCAATACAACCGGCAGAAACAACGACTCTTCGTCGTTGTACTGACTCCTTCACCTCAACATGACTCGGCCTCTAACAGTAGCACGGCAACTCGAGCTGTATTTACCCCGGGCCAGCAGCAACAGCAATAGCAACCGGAACAGTAACGGTAACGGCAACAACAACACCAACACCACCGCCACCACCACCACTTTCACGCCCACCGTCACCGCCACCGCCAACACCAATACGAACACGACCACGGCCACAACCAGCATGAAGACCCTAGCGGAACAGTAAAGAAACCAACTCCGCTGCGCAGTGCTGCATTGCCCCAATGTGGATGCCCATCGAAGTCGCCAAAACCAACGCCGCTACAACATCGGATGTGCGCTGAGAACAACGCTCCCCCGGGTGTGGACGCTGTTCGATGTATACAAAAAACCGAGCGATGCGAGATAAAGTGACCCCCGTGTACTTGCTAGTTGTAGTGGTACTCGTGTCGTGCTAATACGAGTGAGAAACATGGACAACAGGCACCAGGTGTCCTCAACGGCCCGCAGCTCCTGCTAACTTATACGTCTTCCACGCCCCTCACATGAGACTGCAAAACACCCCGTGACAATCCCAAGCTTTTGCTCATCTACATAAGGGTGATGACCCATGGCATGAGTTGTTGGGCAAAAAAGGCTGTAAGTGGTTGAGGACGTGCACGGGCATGGTTTCGACTGCTTGACTCCTGTATGGCATATCTAACCCTAGCTTGATGAGGCGGCGGCTGTCGTGGTTGTTTCGAGGCATTCCTCATGCTGCACCGCATTGCAGGCGGAAGTGTCACCCAACCTCCAGTCTAAGTCGGCGGCAGGCTTCTCCTCCTCCTCCTGCTGCAGGAAAAATCTATCAAGTTTCAGAACACTATGAGGTGCTGGCAGGCAACAGGGACAGCACAGATAAGGCGAGGACAGGCTGTGACCCCTGTGCCGCCTGCTCCTGCCAATCTGATCATGTGCCCTTTGAAACCCACATCCGACATCAACTTGCCAGCCGTGCCCCCTCGTCGTAGGAGAACACGCTCCCCATGAGGCCGAAAACTACGCTTGCATTCGGCTGCGCTCCATCTAAGCTATGAAGTCCAAATCTAGTGCATCACCTGCATAAGGGCGCGAGCCTTCGGATGAAGCGGTTCTCGGCTTCAGGCAGACTCCAATATTGTAAATATCAATGAAGTACTGCAAGGGTAACTGCTTCAGATCCCGCTTAAAATGTGATCAACCACTATCGCCTAAATGAGAGTTTGGGGCTTGGGGCACTGAGTCTTTCACGAGGAATCTCAAACCGACTGCCGCATCGAGCCCTGAAACTCACGAATTACCGGCGAGCGTGGCATCATGGCCAACCTGTTGTTCACGTACCAAACACTATTAATGCAAACATTTGCAAAGATCGACGAGGGCGCAAGCAGCCGTACACGCCTTCGAGTGAGATGGCGTCAAAACCTTCGGGCGCTTTGCTTTGTAGTCCCAGCCCTCCCAAACCATAATTGGGCCGTGTGCTATGCTGAGTTCGATGATGGGGATACGACCGTCGAGAGATGCGAAAGGGACTCACACGAGAAAGCCGTGTGCCGGCAAGTGTCACATTCTGCAGCGCTTTCGAGCCGCGCAGTCGGTTGTTGGAACCGGTGTGCCACCACTCGATCTCCACGCACACATCATACCCATACCGCCCATACCCAATTGCGAGGTTCGCTGATCTCGACAGCGGCTCCAACTTGCTGACCCTTTCTGGTTTTCTCGAGCCTCGCCGATTTGCCGACATTCTCGCAGTACCGTGCACTGAGAGCAGGGCTGAAGGCTCGGCGGCGAAAAGTTTAGTGAGGTTGCAAGGTTGGAAAGCTACATGAGTACTGTTCCAGAAAACCGATCATTTTACTTAACCTCGTTACTGAGAGGTACTTGAAGGGGATGGGATGAAGTGAAGTACAGTTCTACAAGATGTACCAGGGTGCCTTACGGCTTCTCTTCATGCCAGGAGATCAGCAGAGAGATCCGCACTTGCGATCCGCAACTCGCACGCTGCGGCGGCCCAGAGCGCCCGGGCCAGTATGCTTGCTCAATGTGGGCTATGTACAGTGCCACTTTCGGGCAGAGGCCCCAGAACAAAGCAGCTGCACAGCTTGTCACGGACATTGCAGCTTTCGGCAAGCCACGGCGAATAATTTGAGTGGAGTCTTGGGCACACATCGCAGTTCTTCCAGTTCTCGAGAACGAAACCATGACGCAAAGCCGTCGATACTTTGGGTCCAACTCCACCGCTTGGAGCGTCTATCATTCCTGGTTTTCAGGCACCTGCTCACGCTTCATCCAAGCCCTGGCTCGCCATCATCATCGCCTCAAGCACCCGGGCGATAGTCCTCTCCAAAACATTAGCGGCAATGCTATGTGACGCTGGAAGGACAGTGACAGGCATGGAATCCTAATTCTAAGGTGTTCTCGGCCCGTGACTGTGGGAGTTAGGATTAGGGCCATTAGGGGGGACCCTTGGATGTAGACCCTCTCAATTCAATACGGTCCCTTTTACGAGAGCCAGAAGTTAGAAGGGGTACCCTTTAAGGGGTCTCCCTACTACTACTACCTATACTGCGAGTTTGCAAGCACTGCTCCAAAAACTTGGCCCTCTCCTGTAGATCCTCCTGAGCCGCTCTGGATAATGGGTGGTTTTTCCATCAGCTCCATAAGTTCGGCCCTCACAGCTTCGGGCGACATTGCTGCCGCCTCCTGCAGCTCCTCACGGGAATAATCTGCGAAACCTCCGGCACAAAGGACTCTGATGCATGCCGCGCAATACTTCTTGCACTTCTGGATGTTCTGCTGCGACAGAATTTCGAAAATCACAGAAACCCAGCGTCGGCGGTGTTGCCATTCGCTGCGGACCAGTGTGCTGTTACTCGGGAAAACGTAGGCTAGGACCAGCTTGGTTCTTAGCCAAAATATGCCCGATGTTGGGACCAGCTGCTCCAGCAAGCGCAGCACCGCTTCCCGCACCCGGTCTTTCCGCAACAGATATCCTGAGTAAGCTTTGAGTAGAGCATTTGCAGCCTTGCACACCGCGAGGTCCTCTGATAGGCCAAAGTCCGCTAGCTTTTCAATCAAACCATCTGCCAAGCCTGGGCAGTGTCGCCAACAACACTGAAAGCGCAGGTGCAGCAACTGGCCTCGGGTTGAAAGCGCACGATGGGAGGCTTCTGATTCTGAGGGTTCCAAATGAATAAACCAAAAAGAACATTCCCCCACTAGCCCCATTACGGCAACCGAGTCGCACTGGAATCGTTTCCGCTGTGCAGCCGCCGCATGTTTATCTTCCAAAACTTGGCTATGAAAGATCACACTTTCTGGCCTGCAACAACAGACAAATAAGCCGATTGAGGAGGCCAGGACGTGTGAGCTGTGTAGGGTCGGAATGGAGGATGGACAGATGTTGCCTACCAAGCCAGAGTTGGTGGCCTGGCCTGTCAAAGCCGCCGGTCTCCACCACGTGCCGAGCGACGACCTGCACGGCCCGGCACTCGCTACTCTTCCAAAGCTTGGTGCAAGGCGTCGGCATGTGACGCCACCCCTGGAATCGGGGAATGCGATCCAGCGCACTGACACGACAAACCCCTGCCTGCAGATCGATGGCTTCCCTGGAAAGCATGCGTAGGGCACACATCTCCGGTACCTGAAACAAAAAACCAAGCGCAGAATGTGTTAATTCCGGCGTATCGCGCCTCCAGCCATTCCAGTAGATTGGGCCTTGCAAGTGTCAGGCCACTGCGAGCCACGCTACTGCCAGGATTAACCCGCAAGCGTGGCAGGGATGCAGGACCACCGAAACCTCGACCCAACCTGAGATTGCATCTGGGTCCGCTGTGCTGCGTGAATCTATTCACATTGTCTGGACGAACTCTAGTGTCAATGGACCAATGGACGTGATTGATGCCTGTCCCTTGACGCCTAGCTTTTCATTCGCCTTGGCCATCCGCCCTGGTTGTGGATGTGTCCCTGATTTCCCCTGTCCGCCGTACGATCAGCAAAGCATCTCTTTCTCTCCACTGTAACCATTTGTAATCCTGGAAGCCCTGCATGAAGCCCTGAGCCATCCGCACATGCAATGGTGACTCCATACAGCTCTGGGTGTCGTTGTTTCCCACCGATGCCGGCCGGGCCGAGGCGGTTGAGGCGACGTGCGCAGCTTACAACTTGAACTTCTTACAACTACGACCACTGCGCAAAGCAGCCAGTGGTGACGGAGGTGTCGAAACAGCCAGTGAGCATGCCAAGCACATAGCCAGCATGCGAAGCCTGCAGGTTCAGCATGCTGCCACTGACAGGCCACTCACATAGACCGCACGCCTACACAATCCTGCACCTATCCTTTAGTCCACAAGCTTGAGATAGCTTGCGTGAGGCACCTCCCCGGCGAGGAGGTTGAACAGACCCGTGCACCAGCCGCCCGCCTTGCAAGCCCAAAGCCCCAACACGCGGTAGCGACTTGTGCATGAGCTTGCACGCAACGTACATTTGCAGACTCGCTCTCTCAATTTAGCCTCCTCTGCCAACACTTCTGGCGAGTCCAGGCCAGATTCTGGCCTCGAGCTAACCAGAAAAGGGATCTCGGGCGTTCGCAGTGGATCTGGGAACGCGCCGGAGTGCGATAAACTCCACACTAGCCAGTCATGCCAGGCCCCAACCACAGCATGAATTGTATGTTTCCGTGAATCGGTGATGGAATGTAATGGCGCCCGCATGCGGCCAGGGCACGTGGCAACGCACTCGTCAATGCTTTCATCGATGGACCTGCCATGGCATGCTCCCCGCAACCCGCGTTCCAGAGCTTGCACTTGCAAGTACCGGGCTAGCTTTCGTAGAACCCGCAGCTGTGACCACAACTGAACATGCCAAAGGGGCATGGCTTGCGCATCTGCGGCGAAGAGCCCCTGCAAATCCTGCACGGCTCAGATCCAGCAACATATTCTGTAACCCGCAGGCTGTAACCGTCCCCCCTGTTCTACTATAACCTCCCAAAAGTTAGCTGTGCCTTTTTCCCAATCTCTTCCCTCCCACGAACAGTGTCGTGCTAAATCTTGGGTGATGCGGGGTCCCTAACTGTAATCATTTTTCCGGCCGGGTCGAACTGAAGAGATCTGCTGGGGAGAAGGGCGCGGTTTGTGTTCAGACGAAGCGATTTTCCGCATCGAGTCTGCTCTGCAGCTCTGCATGCTTTTACAAACATCCCGAACAAAACAAGGGTACGATTCTATATGCTACTCCTGGAATCCGCGAGCGTGACGGCGGCACCTCAAAGGCTGTCCACGCAGGAAGGTAGTCCACGACAGCGTTGAACAGAGCTGCGCACCAGCCGTCTGCCTTGCAAACTCATCTTCAAACATCTTGCACGAGCCCCAGCGCATTCTCACGCGGCCTATGATTCTACTCTACTGATCCCTCGGTTTAAGGATCACTCAGGCCGAGTCGGGCACGACGTTTGTAAGACCGGAGGTTGGCCTGAAACCACAAAGTGAAACAAGCCATGGGCTTGTGGGGAACGCATGATGCCGCAAGAACAAGCTGGTTTTGTCCAGCTCGGATCGCCTGCGTTTGATGTATTGTAACACTTCGGCCAGGGCACGTGGCAACGCCCTCGTCGATGCGTTCATCGATGGACCTGCCATGAGTCAGCCAGCGGCTCCAGAAAACTCGTATATTGGCAAGTACCAAGCCACATTTCGCAGAACCAGTGGCCGTGGCCACAACTGAACACGCCAAAGGAGCATGACTTGAAGAGCATCTTGCTCCAACGGCAGCGTGCCAACAGCTCGCACGTCTGCGGCGAGGCTCTCCTGCAAAGCAGATGGTGTTGAACACGCCTGCGAATCCTGCAATCTGCAGCGTCTCTCTCAATTACGCCTCCGTCATCATCACTTCCGGCGAGTCTGGCGCCACAGTGCTTGTCAAAGCAGATTTTGGCCTCCCGACCACAGCATGCACTTTGCGAGTCCATTCAGGAATCTAATGATTTGCAAATGCGGCAGGGCACGTCGCCACGCATTCGTCATCACAGTGGACATGCAGACACACCTTGACAATCCCAGGGTTTGCTCTTCTACATGATGGGGATGAAGGTCCAAAACGCTGTAACAGTACGAGCATGAAGGTGTGCACGTGCATGCTTTCGACGGCTTACATAAAGCTACTAGGCTTCTGCAGGATTTCAAGGATCTGTGCATGCTTGCCCTGCAGCCAGCTGGCTAGTGATTCATACTGCACAGCGTTGCATAGTAACACCCAGCCCGGTTGGCAACCGGACAGCGATGAGGCGAGGACCGGCACAGGGGCAACGTGCTCCTGCCAATCTGATAATCACTTGCCCTTTGAGGCTCACATCCCACCACATCCCACAGCAACTTGCCAGACGTGCCTCAGCTTCCTCGGAGAACACGCTCCCCATGGCGAGCAGGAGCCACGGTTGAAGTCAGGTTAGCTACCCGAACTTCCGAACACGGTATTTTCTCTTTTGAGACCTCGTAGCAAAACTTATGCATCGCTCGCGGAGGTTGTAGGCATGGAAAGCTATGCTTGCACTCGGCTGCGTTCCATCTAGGCTATTGAATCCAGATCTAATCATCTAACGAAGGCCACGCTTTACTGCTTGAGCCTTCGACTGAAGCGGTTCTCGGCTTCGCGCACTTCAGATCTCAGCGCCCCCGTGACTGTGGGGCAGCGGGTCTTTCCACGAGGAAACCCATTGGCCCGAATTTGACAGCCGCATCGAATCGAAACAAACTCTGGCCGTTTGTCCGGAAGCACTAGTCCGTTACGTCTGCGGTACGGCAGTAATAAGGTGCAGGCACCAGAGATGAACAGAAGCAACTTCCTTTTTACCGATGGCTCAGGCAGCGAAGTCCGGACCCGGTCGATCGGTATATCACGAGACCGGTCCTGAGACAAGCTACGGTATGTATGCGGGCACCGGGCGGATCCGAATCGGAGAATCCCGGTTCCGGGAAAACCAGGCTGGGTTTTCGGCCAAGGATATAGATCCCCTTAGTAGAAAGGAGGACTAGCCGTACCGGGGAAAAACCCAGCCAATTCAAGAGTCCATAGCCGGAAAAAGGGAGATATTCAGGGAAGCCGCAGGGCTATAGGATGGCCGGGGCAGACGGGAAATGAGGAGCCACGGGATCTCGACTCGATCAGAATCAGAAAGACCAAGAGATTCCGAGTCAGCATCACGGCTAAGGCCATCAGCTATCGTGTTACGGAAACCCGGAACGTGATCAATGTACGTAGAGATACTGAGGAAACGCTGCCAGGCAAAGTAAGCCGGGAGAAGGTCACAAAGGCCTCTGGCCGTCGATAGGCCCTTCCAAGAAGCGGAGTCAGACGGCGAGTTATCACATCGGGTGGTAACATGAACCGGGTGAGAAGCCGCCGGGATGAAAAGGGCAACCACCCGCAGGAGGGCCATCTGTCCAAGCAGTTCCCATGCGGCGATGCAAGCTTGAGGAGAGGTGCCGGGTGGAAACCATGGAAAGAGCTGGTGCAAATCAGCGTTGGAGAAGTGCTGACGGAACCAGGCACATTTGCCGGACGGCAACTTGACACAAAACCACCCAAGCCGGCATGGGAGGAATCTGCGCAGGCATCCGCAAAGGCATCGCACGGGAAGTCTCTACCCAGCTGTAACGGAAATACGGGGGAAAAATCCGCAAGGCAGGACTTCCACATATCAAGGACCAGGTTTGATTCCTTGGAAAGTTTCCTGTCGGAATCGGGGGGCATGCGAACGGAAATCCACGTACGACGCTCCCCCCGAAACGATACAGGAAGATCGGAGTGGCACGAAACCTCCTTCCCGGAAAGGGAGATAAGGGAACATTGAGCGGGACAGGATGCGACACCGATGTCCGTTTGAAGGACAAGGGAGTCCGAAAGTCCAGCACGGAACAAGGCCCACTTGGCAGGATTTAAGGCCACGTGAACCAGGGATGGTTTACCCTGATCAAGGTAGAGCGGAGCCAGAGTAGGCCGAAACGGGCTAAAAAGGGAACACACCCAGAGGAGTTTACCGGTGAGTTTGCGGAGCAGGTGCAAAGGGACCGCATCGGAGGACCGGACTTTCAGCAGGAGTGTGCGAAGGCGGTCAAGTTTCGGAGGTTCCAGAGTGGCCGTGAGCGACACCAGACAAATATTCCATCCGATCCAGGTAGGGCGCTGTGCGAGGTAAGCTTTGTGCCAGCTCATGGGTACCCGGATGATCAGCAAAAGTATGCACATCACGGCAGCCCAAACCGGGGGTTTGGGGCCTGCGTTTGGTTTCTGTAGGGCTTCAGGGACGGGTTACAAGAGAGGGCGAGTTCCCCGCAACCCTAAATCCTAGTTGGAGTTTGTTCTGGGGCCTTCTGACAGTTTCTGTGCAGTGGATAGGGCACCTTATGGCTATCTGGGAGACCGAAACGAATGCCAGCTGAACTCCAGCAGCCCAAACTCTGAACATATCCCAATGTGCAGGAGCTGCACCCTCGGCCTTTTCACCCGAGACGGGCTTCGGGCTCAGGTTCTAGGGCTCAGAAGTTGTCCCGAAGCTCCCTGATCCTGGCGATGGGCGTTTGAAGATACATTCCTCTCGGCAGTTTTGCACCATGAGTGATCTTGTTATTTGCTGAGACTCGACGAGTGCTCCACCCATGGCGCTCAAGGTGATATGCGCGTTCAGCCGAGCGGCTGTGTGGAAGAGCACGGCACAGTGACGAAGCACATCGCGGAGGAAACCCTCAGCTTCGAGATCCTTCCCTGTATTCTTGCTTTCGGGGGTTGTATTCGGCTTGTCTGCGGCTGCGAGTACCTCGCCTGCTCGCCTCGTGGCATATCAGAAACTGGGCTCCAGAAGCTTGAAAGCTTGCGTATCGCATAGCCTTATGCGATCTGCTTGCTATCAACAGCACAACACTGTAAGCCACCAGCCATCGTGTCCGGCGTCATAACAGCCTCGTGCGTGTTCGGGCGACAGGTCCGTGGAAGCATCGGATCCGTGGAGTCAAGGGGTCCATCCCAAACCCAAAAATCTACAGGTCTGAGGCCCCGTCAGGTTCGTGAGCATGCGCGTCAGCTCGATCATCAAAGCGAAGTGCTCCACGAACCAGCCCTTGCCCGGGTCGTGACCACGTCTATGCACATGCTCATATTATATATAGATTCGTCTATCGGACCATATGATAAAAAAGGACTTTTAAATACCTGTATGCATCGAATCGAACCGACCCTAATTTCGATTGGAGGTCCGCTAGGTATCTAAATCTGATGTTGCGGTCTGACTCCATAGCTAAATAACCCAAGTAACCACGCAAGGAGGGGGGATCTTCCGGGCTCAGCTTGACTGCGGACTCGTGTGCTGCTCCCCTGTGCACTCAAGCACGACTAAGAGCCCTTGGTGAACTTGCTTCTGACCAGCTGGCATCTGTCGCTGGTCCTGTACCCGTTGCATGCACCGCTTGACTTGAAAACTTGATCGGCGTAGCCTGCTCAAGAAATGTGAGCGTCGAACTGCTGACTGCTAATCCTGGAAGTCAAGCAAAGCCGCAGCGCATAAAAACGTCAGTGACTGCTGCTGCTACCTCAGCCGAGAAGCTCACACGACAGGGAGGATGCAAGTTCACAGCGCTCAAACTCCAGCGCGGCTGAGGCACACACAGACACACACATACATGCAACTTACACATCGTCCGTCTTTTGTGGCAGCGTGAACCCGTAGCAATCTGACCTGCGAGCGGGCGACGGCAAAAACCCCTAAGCTGACAAGTCACCGAAACCAAGTGCTGAGCTCAGTTGTGTCGCGCAGACTTGCTGACATCGTTTCTTCCTTCACCCAGTTACTGTCCTGCAAAGTCAGGCTGAGACGCGGCACAGGGAGGCCTAGGTCCTAGGTGGCAGAGCGGATTTGACGTGAAATGCTCTCCTGCTGGGTGTAAATGTTGATCTTGGACGCTTGAAGTGGAGGCAAGGAAGGGTCGATTGCCTGCAGCGATAAACAAAGGATTCTGGACAGTTCCTCTTCCGCTTTGATTGCCTGATTTCACGGCTACCCTCAAAACTACAATCTTTGTCATCGCCCTTCTGCAAACAACTCCCGACATAAATCCACGCGCCAGTTCCAAGCACAGGGCCACCTGACATCGCACACCAAAAGGACGGAGAACCACTCATGAACACAGAAACACACTGAGGCAATCGATTCAGTGGCGCAGCTAAGGTCGCGGCGTTGGCGAAGGCTCCTTTCACTTGGAACGCATTGCCCGTGGGCTCAAACTCCTCACCATCCTCGAACTTCATTTGTGGGTCGGCAACTTTTCACAAGAGATGCGAACAAAATAAACCACCCGTCTTGGAGAATGCACAGCTTTCGACAACAAGGACAACATATGAATGCACAACCGGTATCCTCCGAGGGCCTGGCCGTGAGCTGTTTGTCCTGCAAGTCGAAGGTCATCGCTGCAAACACGAACTGACAGCAAACTTACAGACTCACTCCAGCAATCCCGAGCCCAGCCCCTCCCCCACATCCCGCACCAGGGCCAACACCAAGCCCGGCCAAGAACTCCACGACAGGGCTAACACTGCATGCGCACACAACGCCGTCCTTCCGGGCCAGCCCCCGCAACCAGACGACGGGCTCTGATGTCGCGCCTCACAGAACGTCAAAGGCTGGTATCTCGAAACCTCCAGCTCCATGGTCACACTCCGAAGAAGCACACATCATGACATGTGCACGAAGGCCAGAGAACGTGCTTCTGCAAAACGGAAGCAGAGAACGATGACAGACAAAACAAGACAAGACTACAAGACTTCTCACCCAGTCCATGTTGCGGAGCTTCATTTGGCAACCATGTGAGCCATGCGAAACTTGAACTGTGAGCCTTGTCCTGCTTGTGGTGCTTGCGGTCTTCGACCCGTGCACAAGTACTCATCTACGTCCACAGGTCGCCGCCTGCCGATTTGATCCGGAACTTGGGTCATGTTCAGAACCGCGTCGATGATCTGCTCGTTGGAACGCAATGGGTTGTTCTGCACGTGCTTCCGAGCCTCCATGCGTTCCCATCTGTAGCTGCGTGCATCGTTTTGTGCCCAAGCTCGGGAGCGTGCTCCATTGAGATTGGCTGCCTCCTGGACAGCTTTTTCAGATTGAGTGACGACGAGCAGGTGGAGACCACATTCAAAGGCATACCTGGTTAGACCCAGCAGCAATTCTTGTTGTCCATGCAACCCGCGATCAAAGGTGTTGTCAAAGAGGATCTGCAAACGGATGCCACGAGCTTGTAGCAAATCAAACAGCACCGAAGAAACTTGCACAGCATCTGCAGCATCTGCTACCCGGAAAGAGTCTTTGAGGTTCTTCTGGAAATCTCCCTGTAGAAGCACTCCGACTGAGGACATCGGCATCCCATTCCTGAGTGCCAGCGCCGTGGCAGTAGATTTGCCAACGCCTGGTTCTGCTTGCACTAAAGAGACACCAGTTGTTCGGTTGTCAACCAAGACCGTCATCATCAACTGCTTCGAAGCTTGTATTTTCAATTGGCTTTTAGGTACTCTTTGCGATTTCGGAATAATGCTGTTGCCACTCTGCCACTCTCCTGTGCCTTCCCCAGACTTTCAAACAGTTTCTGAGCATGCTGTTGCACATCCCCGCTCAACAGCAGAATATTGGCAATCTCAGCTTTGTAATAGTCCATCTGCTTGTTGATGAAATCAACACGGGCTGTTGCAGCTGACGCAGCACCAAACACTGCAGCTGGGTCAGCGGCGACCCCAACGGTTCGTGGGTGCGCGCCGTCTCTTTTGGCATGCCAAAAGCCAACAAATCCGCAAAGCTCGAGGCTTACATGGGTGAACATGGCAAAAACCACCATTCTCTGACATCTGCGCGCCATGATAATCGAGGCACGCCTTGTCTTATTGCTTCTCAAGTAAGTATTTCACCTTGAACAAGCATTGGACATGTTCTCTTCTGTATATGTCCCACTGGTCTTTATAATTCATGGCCTCCGTTCTGCTGCTGCGGCTCTAAACTCTAAATTGTGAAGCAACCGCTCTTCCAGAGCCGAGCCTTCGCAAGCACAATTCAGTTTCAAGCCGCCCGTCAGCCCGGCACATGTGGTTTTTTCTAGCACCTAAAAGCATGGAGTCGCAAGAGCTAATTTCAAACTCCAGCGCTGCTGAAGCACACGCATGCAACTCACACATCGTCCGTCTTTTGTGGCAACGTGAACCTGTAGCAATCTGCCCTGCGAGCGGGGCGACAGCAAAACCTCCAAGCTAAGCTGAAAAGGCATCGACACCAGGTGCTGGGTTATGCCGCGATTGACTTCATTGTCTTCGTCTTCCTTCAACCAGCCCCCATCCTGCAAGCCGTCAAGCGGGGGTTGACGCGAAATGCTCTCCTTCTGGCGGAGATATCCAGTTGGAACGCATCGCACGTCACAGTCTTTGGGTTTTCGTTGTTGAAGCAAGGCTCAGCAACGGCTCAGTGGAAAATGAAAACGCAATTCCGCTTCAGCTTTGATTGCCTGATTTCATGGCGAGCGGGTTTGGCATGACTCCGTCTGGCTGTAAATGTCGATCTTGGACGCTTGAAATGGAGACAAGGAAGGGTCGATTGCCTGCAGAAATAATGTGAGCTCGTGATTATTAAAGGTCCCCTCAATAGAGCTAAACTCGGCCCGGCACACAATAATTAAAAGTCCCCTCAATATAGAGCTAAACTCGGCCTGCACGTAATAATAAAGACCCCTCAATGATCCTAAAACCCGTCCCGGCGTAAAATTTTAAGGTTTAGGTAGAGAAGCACTCCTACTACCTGCCGAAAAGCAAACCAGAATCCATGAGGCTTCTATATAGAAACCTCAAGTCTCCAGCTTTCAGTGATTCAGGCCAAAGCTCCAGACTCTGGTTTTGCACGGCTGCCAGATCTATAGTTTTCTTATATAAACCCTTATTAAAAAGCCATCCCAGCAACTTTTCTAACGGGTGGTATACGATAGCTGCCGACCCCACAATAATTCGGATGAAAAGGCCCCCTCAATAGTGCAGCGGCCTGCCAGGGGCCTCTAAAACAGCAAACCAGAATCCCTTGCTGTATTGAAAACCATAAGGCTTCTATATAGAAACCTCAAGTCTCCAGCTTTCAGTGATTCAGGCCAAAGCTCCAGACTCTGGTTTTGCACGGCTGCCAGATCTATAGTTTTCTTATATAAACCCTTATTAAAAAGCCATCCCAGCAACTTTTCTAAGGGGTGGTATACGATAGCTGCCGACCCCACAATAATTCGGATGAAAAGGCCCCCTCAATAGTGCAGCGGCCTGCCAGGGGCCTCTAAAACAGCAAACCAGAATCCCTTGCTGTATTGAAAACCATAAGGCTTCTAAATAGAAACCTCAAGTCTCCAGTCTGCAGCCTTCAGGGATTCAAGCGAAAGCTCCAAACTCTGGTTTTGCACGGCTGCCAGATCTATAGTTTTCTTATATAAACTCTAGTAAAAAACCATCCCAGCAACTTTTCTAAAGGGCAGTATACGACAGCTGCCGACCCCACAATAATTCGGATGAAAAGGCTTCCTCAATAGTGCAGCGGCCTGCCAGGGGCCTCCAGAACAGCAAACCAGAATCCTTTGCTGTATTGAAACCATAAAGCCTCAATGTAGAAACCTTCAAGGATTCAGGCCATAGCTCCAAACTCTGGTTTTGCACGGCTGCCAGATCTATAGGTTTCTTATATAAACTCCTTATTAAATAGGCCATTCCAGCAACTTCTAAGGCGTAGTATACGATAGCTGCCGACCCCACAACAATTCGGATGAAAAGGCTTCCTCAATAGTGCAGCGGCCTGCCGGGGGGCCTCCAAAACAGCAAACCAGAATCCCTTGCTGTATTCAAAACCATAAAGCTTCTGTATAGAAGCCTCAAGTCTCCAGCTTTTCAGTGGTTCAAACCAAAGCTCCAAACTCTGGTTTTGTACTACTAGTACTACTGCTGCTACAACCACTACTACTACTACTACTACTTCTTCTTCTACTACTACTAATACTACTACTACACTACTACTATTACTGTGCTACTGTGCTTCTGTACTACTGTACTATTGTCCTACTGTACTATGCGATTATACTAGTGTGCTACTACTGAAAGCTCCGGCCCCCAAGCAACCTCGACCTCGGCTCCCCGTTTGGCAGAACCAACTGGATGCTCGTGCGTGGGGGGCTTGTAATTGTGTTTTGTTTCATTAAGTTTGCTTTTCTCATTTTATTTTCTTCGCAAAAACCACCCCATAAAACGATTTCGTCCCGGGAGTCGCATGTGCGATGCGCTGTGGCTCGGGAGTCCGCGGTCGGAGTCGAGAGTGGAAGGTTCGGCACTGGAATCGAGTCTGGAGGCGAATTGCAAGCTCTTTGGAGCCCCTCCAGATGCGCGCGTGGGGGGTCCGAGAGTGCAGAATCTGTGCGGGGGGGAAGTGCAGAATTCTAGGGAATGCAAGCTGCGGCTGCTTGCAAATGTGCTTACGGAGCAGATCCTTTTCACGTGTGTTACCAATCCCAAGTTGAAAGGGCCGGCCGCTGAAATCATCCGACAGCAGATGACTGAGATTCAGGCCCGAAATGCGGAGTCTGAAATTCTTCCTATTCTGATCGAGAAGGCCAAAGCCTTCTTGAATGAGTGATTCCACCGGTAGCAAACATGTCAAGCATGCCTAGTGTGCTTGCTGCAGGACTCAGCTTGAATTTCGGCTTGAACTGCTTAGGCCCTAGGCCGAGGCCCCAAACCCAAAATGTGTAAACCATGTCATGAGTATCAGAGTATCAGTGTACTTAGTAATTTAGTACCATATTTAACAGGCCTATACAGTGGCGGGGAGGCAGATACTCAGCCTCGACCATCCTTCGGATTTGTTCCACGGACCCTGCTGCGCACGCCTTGGCGTCAGCTCAGCGTAGGTATCGAAGACCGGCGCGACGTCCGGCCGGGTGGATGTCGGAGTGGACGAGCGGAACGTCGAGCGCGATGTGCCTTGTATCGGTCCGGGTCGGTCCTCGAGCAGGCGGAAACTGGGCCGGGCGCTCCAAGTTCTCCCGGATAGCGGCCGCGCCTTGTTGGTCCGGGAGCCGGGGACCGTCCGGGAGGGAACAGGGCCCGGTCGGGCGATACTGTCCGGGGACGGATCCGGGCCAGTCAGACCGGGCAGCAAGCACCGAAATGGTGGCTTCAATGTCCCACTGCCCTATGTTCGCAAGAGCATAAAAATTATCTTGCGTGACCTCGGAGAGCAAGACCATGAGGCGGGCGGCTTGGGATATCGGAAGTTCGCGGCCGCCGCGTATACGGAGTCGTCGTCCGCTTCGGACACAAAGTTCACCAGACCTGCCGGAGTTCAGCATCTGAGCGGCGATCGGGACCGGAGGCAGGAGGATCTGGTCCCATCCAGTCCGCAGGTCGGCGCGGAAAGGTCTCCACCGGCGGCGGGTCGGCGGCAGAGGCATCCTGGGCGGGGTCCGCAGCCGGCACATGCTGAGGCGGAGCCGCCGGAAGACCACCAGTAGTCGGAGGATACTTCGGCACGGCCTTGACCGGGACGGAGGCGCTGCCAGCCTCATTCGCCTGGCCAGAACCTGAGCCAGAAGGCGGAGAAGAACTCGGCATGTAGCCGCGCCGCCATGATCCGCAGGGCCATCCGGAGCACCGCCACCAGAGGCAGCCGCACCTTTCGCCACCGCAGTGGGGGCAGAAGGCGGGTCCGAGACCACGGCCGGAGAGGCCGCAGCCGGAACCCGGGCATCCACAGCCACAGCGGGGCCCACCACCGGAGTAGAAGAAGGCTCACCGGGCGGAGAGGCAGCCGGAGGAGCCGAGCGAGTAGCCCCCGTTGATGCAAAACCCGTCGCGGACATGACACCACGGGCCAACTCGCGGAGCGGATGCGATCCACTGAAGCGGCTCATGGCTGAGGCGAGCGGCGCAAAGAAATCGAAGCGGGAGGGCTTGAGAGCTGGAAAGCGGCTGAGGCCGAACAACTGGAGCTAAGCCATGTCCTCACCACTGGTGCGAACGGAAAAAGCTTGCAGCCCGAGCCTGTTCGGGAACGGATCGGGGAGGAGCCACCGCGGGAGCAGCATCCTCAGGATCTGGCCTCGGAAGAACAAACTATAAATAATCAGGAGTTCCAGAGGGGCCGGGCACCGGACAAGGGTGCCGACACCGGGGGAAGACTCCTGAAGAGCGAGGGCAGAAATGAGCCCCAAACTCGGAGCAGCAGTCCTCACCGGCGAGGCGGAAGGACGCGAGCTCGAGGAAGAAGTACCGGATGACTGCCAGAAGATATGCAATCAGCCGGGAATATCAAGAAAGCCCCAGGCCTGCCGGCCTGCCGTCGACGGCGGCGACGGGATCGACCCCGCCGGCGGCGACGGGGCCGGGAGTCAGAAGACGAAGCAGATTTTCGGTTTGCCGTCATTCTGGTGGCTAGACTTCTCTCTGGACAATTACCAGAGTTTCGCAAGGACTCTTGCACCCTTTAAGGGGCCTTGGGGCTTCGCGGCCATGTGGCATGTACTCGTATGGAAGCTTTTGAAAAGCAGAGAAGATCGAGCGCTGTGGTGATCCAAAAAGACACTCGTTGTTGCATATGCTGAAAGACGAAAATTGAACAAGATAAGGCTTTGAGTCTGGGTGGTGAGGGGGTGGGACGGAGCTCAGTGCGACTTCTCGAAATGGGAGTCGCAGTTCTGAAGCTACAGTATGAGGGGGGCAAACGACACTTCCACGTCTCTCAATGCTGCAGCTGCGGGAGGGCCACCAGGCTTTTCAGCACCAGCCGTCTGAAAGCCTGAAGCCCCTCGATGCGGAATATTGCTTGAATAATAGCACAGAGCCCCGTATAGCTTCAGGCAATAATGCGTTAATTCAGGGGCATTGTCGCTCTAAGGGTTTTGGGTCTCCCTGAGGCCATAGTGAATACGTTTCGGCGCTCGCACTCGGACCAGGAGACGCATGTCGTCTCGAGTACATAGGTTGTGGGGCTCATGGCTTAGCTTGTAAATGAGCTATCTACCTGTGGTAAGTTTGTCGCAAACAGTCCAACGCCGAACAAGACACTCTGTGGTTTACCCTCTCACAACTCGGGCAATCCAGGACACTCTCTGTGGTTTACGCTCTCACAACCCGAGTTCGGTCATTAGGATTTCGGGGTTCGATGGTCATCGGAATGCGACGCAGCACACAGCAGGATCCGATTCGCAGTTGAAACCATATCTATCCAATGCCCGCAATAAGTCATCGTGGTGCCTCAAAGCTTCGATTGTTTTTTCAAGCCTGCGCTGGCCAACTCGAAAATGGACGGACGGAGCTGTCTCGGTGTGTCCGGTTGCGGGTTGAACGTAAAGGCTTCCCCCACGCTCCACATTTTCACATTCTGCCGCCCCTGCTGCTTTTAAGAGGACATCCGGAGGCCTGAAGCTGCATCGTGAGCACCCCAGCCCAAACGGTGATGACAGCCTCACATGCTGACAGCATTGTGCACAACGCTGTCAGCGCCGGCCCATCCACGCGTCTTCAAACGAACTACGTATAGTGTACCAGCAGCTGCTTCAAGAGATCGCTGCGCTGCGTTCGCAGCGAGCATCATTTGAGTCAGAGCTGAAGGAACATTGCCGCCTGCAGAGCTCACTTGACAAACAGTGAGGTCAGCCTCCTGTACAAGCCTCGAGATGGCGGACTAAGCATCCCAGTATCAGGTTCACTAGCACAGAGTACCGTGCCGGGTCCTACCCATGCTTGCCATTGCGCCAGAGTGCAAAGTAGTAAGCGACAATAAGTAAGGAGCCCTATGAATAATCATATTACTCATTATTCCGGCACGTATGTTTTTCTTTACGGAGACCTGGTACGGGGAACAAATTCACGGAGAGTCTCCGATTCTGATGACCAGGTTTCCTGGACAACAAGCGACAGCACGGTGGCGGTGCAGGCGAGTTGGAAGTGGCCGCAGCAATAGTCGCCTGCAGCAGCAACCATGCAACCATGCAACCCTGCAACCCCGCCCGCGTATAGAGCCTGACCACACGAATCACAATGGGGCTCCCTGCGCTTCTCCTCCGACCAAAGGCCGAGACATCTCGCAAAGCATCTCGAGCGGAGCAGCCGAGGCAGCTTGGGTCCTCGTGTTGGTGGCAGTGGTACGGCTGGCAGCCCTTGTGCTCGTGCTCGCAGCAATACGTCTTCTTGTGGTACGACCATGTACGACCTCAGTTGATCGGAGAAGCAAGTCAGCAGGCGCCGTAGAACCGTCGAGGCTCCGGCCAGCCGTGCTCCCAATTGGAGTAGCCTGCATCGCAGTCGTATCCGCCATGGCCGGCATGATGGCCCATGGTGTGCACCACCTCGGCATGGCATGCATCACAGCATCACAGGGCAAGGTAAAACCAAGACACGGATCCGGATCGGCAGCAGGCCCATGCCAGTTGCCCCTACACGCGATTCGTTGCCGTTTGAGGCTTTGAGGATCGTGCAGTGGCACTCGACATGCTGTGTAGGGCGCAGACAGTGCGAGCGTGCCACTGGCCGTGCGCCATGCCAGGGCAGATTAGATGGTGGTGGTCCTGTCGTGCTCGAGGAGGCCACACGAAGACATGCGCCACCCCACTATATTGCATTGAAGTCTACAGGATCTTTAAGTGTCGGAGTGGCAGCTGAAAGGCCAAAGAAGGCAAACTTGCGGTGCCAGTATGGCAGGACTGCTGGATGCAGATGAATGCAATCTCGGTTCAAGCAAGACGGAGCCACGCAGCACCACGATTTCTGGACGCGGGACCAGCCATGATACCAGTTGGACAAGCCCGCGTGGCAATCCTCAGCACAGGTCACTCAGAAAACTAATCTGGGTGACAAAAACGAACGGCGAGTCGCACAGTGCTTGAGGTGCTGCACACCAGTAATGGTCACCACGTGGTGATGGTGCCAAGATCCTTCCGGCTTCATTCAAGTTTCTTCGGGCCACCCCGTTTTCTGCACCGGCACTCCACAGCACGACCACAGCAACAAGTGTCCTGGGCAGCCCAGGTGCTGGTGCGCGCAGCACCACTGCTTCCTGCAGATGCCGTGCAGAGCTCGTCCCGCACATGCTGCTCAGGGCAGCACCCGGGCATACTTCCAGCAAAGCCACTTCGTGCCCGACCAGACGTAGCACCACTTGCCGAAATGGGAGTCGCAGTTCTGAGGCTATGAGGAGGGCAGACGACACTCCCGGCCGTGTCTTTCAATGCTGCAGCGGTGGCAGGGCCACCTTTCAGTACCGAAGGTCTGTGCCGAGTGTCGTAGTCATGCACAGTGTTGACGATGTGGGGAGGCGACGGCACGGGCACGTCCACATAGTGGCCTCACGAGGGAAGGAGTCAAGCTGAACTCGACCTCCTGGAAGCTTGAGCATTGAGGCTGTCACGGTGGCCCTGAACTTTCACGGTGTAGGGCTTCTTGACGGTGATGACCTGCGGACCCCCGCTGTCGAATGGATATCATGCCGCGGAAGGCACTGTGCCTGGGGAGGCTCCTTGACGGGATAAGGCACGTCCTTGTTGATAGTGACCTGGTGCAGTACTTCTCGGAGCCCTCCCCCGCAAGGCACTCTGCATGGCTGACAAGAACTACTTAATACATCGGCTGCTGCAGCTCGGCCCCCGGCGACCTTGTGGATTTTGGGCCCCGGCGCCGGCACGTGCACGTACTTCGGCGGGCTCGGGACGCGGTAGACTTGCGGGATGTTGTGGATGATCTGAGTTGCCGAGTCGAGCGTCTTCGAGCCCAGCGCAACCCCGGATCGCTAGCCGCTAGCCGGCGTGACTGATTGCTGCCTGCGTATATAGTATCATGCACTTGCAGTACACTGCATCGAAGCCAAGCGGCTGAAGGACTCCGCGGCTCCTGCAACGGCACCGGCACATGCAGCTTCCTCAGCAGCCAGAGTTGGCATGTTAGGAGCTGCGCGAGTGGCCAGAATGAGAGGCCAGTCAAGCTGCTGAATCTTGGTCAGGTGGTGGTAGATGTTGCGGTCAACCACTTGCTTTGGGCAGCCCTCACAGGGCAGCAGTCATAGAACAGGCACAGTCGCCGCATGCAGGCATGCAGCTACAGTCACGCGCGACGACATGTGCGTGAGTCCTCCTTGTACTTGTAGCAGCACCACCTCTTGTGCGCGCCGGACCACATTTCGTGGTCGTAGTCGCCGCCGTCGAAGCACTCGTGGTGAGCGTTGGGCTTCTGATGAAGAGGGACGTAGATCAGAAGGCCGGCTAGAGTAGGGACTGAAAAGCAAATCTCTCGAGCAAGCCTGAGGGCGTTGCAACAACGTGCAGGGTGTGGATGATGGGCGCAGGCCGCGGCATCTGCACCTTCACCTGGCAGCCCGGATAGAAGGGCAGTGTGCCATGGCAAGCATTGCAACTGCAACTGCAGCCAAGGGACATGGTGATTCACCGGAACCCTCCTCATGCCAAGCATCCACATGTCAATAAAGGATCGCCAGGATCGCAGACAAACTTACGGCCAACACTCGCTCTTCCATCCTCGCACCAGCTCACAGTTCACAGCCTCTAGCATCCTTGTGGGGATCCTTTAAGGAATGCCGGGGAACCTTACGGAGAAGCGAAAGGCACGCCGGGCTGCGTCGAGTTCGCACAAAAACGGGAGCCCCGGGCTTCTTCTTCAGGTTCTGTTGCAGCCAGCACAGCTGAGCAGTCCTGACCACCGTGTTGTAGTGGCGCCGGACCACCACGCGAGGCGCCTCGGCATCGCAGCTTCCGCAGTGCTGCTCGCGACACAAGTGCCCCGCATCCTGCAAGGCCTCGGTGGTCGTGACCACGACGGGGTCATAGCAGTTGACTCCGCACTGGGAGCAGCAGAAGTCCGCCTCAGACACCGTTTGTTGCGCAGGCCCTCGTGGGTGGCCCGTGCACGGCCTTCAGCCGCAGCCGCTGAGGCCCACACCGAATGCGACCTCACGGCCGGCACGCCCCGAACGCTGTTCATGAGCATCGGGCTGCGCGGTGCCGCCAGACAGGTGGCATTCTTTTGCTTCGTGCAGCTGCGCTGGCCTGCTCTGCAAATGCCTCTCTACCAGACGCTGCCGGTGCACACTAACCAAGATCGCTCTGAGTAGGGCACTGAACACGAAGCCGCCACCCCCACCTGGCAAGAAGAAAAGCCCCCTTTGCTGCGGGCCCGCTTTTGTGAACACAACTTCCTCAGGCCTGGGCTCACCGGGGGGCCGATTGTGAGCGTTGGCCTGGCGTCCACCAGCAACGGACAGCTAACATGTGCCAAGCCTCAAGACATCGGAACCCCAAAGCTCAAAGTGAAGAGCGAGCCTGGGCGGGGGCCACAGCTGATGGCCTCAGAATCAGCCGGGGCACCCACCTGAATCCTGTAGCCAGGTGCCAAAAGGCACCCCAATCCGAGGTTTCGACCGGCACGGGCGACTTTGGTGCAAACGCTTCTCCTGCGGAGTTCAACATATGCAGTGGAAGCCTGCAGCCGTGTGCAGTTTCGCACGCGTGCTGTCACAGCCCCCGTCCGCGCCAGGCTCTGAACAGAATGCCGATGCTCGCCTGCAGGGGTTCAGAGTCCATGAAGAGGGCGTGACGTACCCGCACGGCCCACAAACGGTTACGGCCATCCGGCCTTCTTGGCTGCCATCTGTGCGAGGCCCTGGCGTGTGTGCAAGAACATCAAACATGGACAAGCCTCCTCGGCCAAGCAAGTGTCATCATCATCATCACATGCCGGACAGCACCGCAGAAAAGCCGTCTGCACGTCTTGGGGTAAGCTTGGGTTCAGAAAGTATGCAAAGTGCAGCTGCAAGTGGCCAGAGCCGGCGGCTGAGGGGTGCGGTGTGGAGGAGCGTGGCTGGAGCGGTGTACCGGTGGCTGATGGGTTTGGGTGGAAGGGGGTCGTGTGTCTAGTATCGAAGCACTCCGCACCGCCAACGGCGACACCTAGCTGGGGTATCCTGGTATCGCAAGCACACATTGGTGCATCGATCCAACCGAGGCGTTGCAACCATGAGAAACGCAGGCTTGCTGTCTTAGACCTTAACTTGACATGTGGTCTCCAAACTCGGTCCTAGAGTTGAACTACGTCTCCACCCTTCAGTCAACATTGCACTGTGCACCGTACAGAACCAGTTGGTAAATGCCACTACGCATATGTGAACATGTAGGATCAACATTGCCATGTGTATGTCGAACGCTTGCATGCATGTAAGTCTACGCTGATGCAAACGACGGCCTCCTGACAAGCGCGGTTCAGCAGCACCTCGGCATTCCGACTTTCCTGAGGAACTAACCAAGTGACTCTGGTAGTTTTTAAACTACCAACAAACCCCGAATTTCAGACGAAGAGAGGTGTCAAGGGGCGGGGCGGTTGTCAGCAAGCCATGAAGAAGCTCTCAGGAGGACGGATTGCGATTTTGATCAATACAACCGGCAGAAACAACGACTCTTCGTCGTTGTACTGACTCCTTCACCTCAACATGACTCGGCCTCTAACAGTAGCACGGCAACTCGAGCTGTATTTACCCCGGGCCAGCAGCAACAGCAATAGCAACCGGAACAGTAACGGTAACGGCAACAACAACACCAACACCACCGCCACCACCACCACTTTCACGCCCACCGTCACCGCCACCGCCAACACCAATACGAACACGACCACGGCCACAACCAGCATGAAGACCCTAGCGGAACAGTAAAGAAACCAACTCCGCTGCGCAGTGCTGCATTGCCCCAGTGTGGATGCCCATCGAAGTCGCCAAAACCAACGCCGCTACAACATCGGATGTGCGCTGAGAACAACGCTCCCCCGGGTGTGGACGAAGTTCGATGTATACAAAAAACCGAGCGATGCGAGATAAAGTGACCCCCGTGTACTTGCTAGTTGTAGTGGTACTCGTGTCGTGCTAATACGAGTGAGAAACATGGACAACAGGCACCAGGTGTCCTCAACGGCCCGCAGCTCCTGCTAACTTATACGTCTTCCACGCCCCTCACATGAGACTGCAAAACACCCCGTGACAATCCCAAGCTTTTGCTCATCTACATAAGGGTGATGACCCATGGCATGAGTTGTTGGGCAAAAAAGGCTGTAAGTGGTTGAGGACGTGCACGGGCATGGTTTCGACTGCTTGACTCCTGTATGGCATATCTAACCCTAGCTTGATGAGGCGGCGGCTGTCGTGGTTGTTTCGAGGCATTCCTCATGCTGCACCGCATTGCAGGCGGAAGTGTCACCCAACCTCCAGTCTAAGTCGGCGGCAGGCTTCTCCTCCTCCTGCTGCAGGAAAAAGCTATCAAGTTTCAGAACACTATGAGGTGCTGGCAGGCAACAGGGACAGCACAGATAAGGCGAGGACAGGCTGTGACCCCTGTGCCGCCTGCTCCTGCCAATCTGATCATGTGCCCTTTGAAACCCACATCCGACATCAACTTGCCAGCCGTGCCCCCTCGTCGTAGGAGAACACGCTCCCCATGAGGCCGAAAACTACGCTTGCATTCGGCTGCGCTCCATCTAAGCTATGAAGTCCAAATCTAGTGCATCACCTGCATAAGGGCGCGAGCCTTCGGATGAAGCGGTTCTCGGCTTCAGGCAGACTCCAATTTTGTAAATATCAATGAAGTACTGCAAGGGTAACTGCTTCAGATCCCGCTTAAAATGTGATCAACCACTATCGCCTAAATGAGAGTTTGGGGCTTGGGGCACTGAGTCTTTCACGAGGAATCTCAAACCGACTGCCGCATCGAGCCCTGAAACTCACGAATTACCGGCGAGCGTGGCATCATGGCCAACCTGTTGTTCACGTACCAAACACTATTAATGCAAACATTTGCAAAGATCGACGAGGGCGCAAGCAGCCGTACACGCCTTCGAGTGAGATGGCGTCAAAACCTTCGGGCGCTTTGCTTTGTAGTCCCAGCCCTCCCAAACCATAATTGGGCCGTGTGCTATGCTGAGTTCGATGATGGGGATACGACCGTCGAGAGATGCGAAAGGGACTCACACGAGAAAGCCGTGTGCCGGCAAGTGTCACATTCTGCAGCGCTTTCGAGCCGCGCAGTCGGTTGTTGGAACCGGTGTGCCACCACTCGATCTCCACGCACACATCATACCCATACCGCCCATACCCAATTGCGAGGTTCGCTGATCTCGACAGCGGCTCCAACTTGCTGACCCTTTCTGGTTTTCTCGAGCCTCGCCGATTTGCCGACATTCTCGCAGTACCGTGCACTGAGAGCAGGGCTGAAGGCTCGGCGGCGAAAAGTTTAGTGAGGTTGCAAGGTTGGAAAGCTACATGAGTACTGTTCCAGAAAACCGATCATTTTACTTAACCTCGTTACTGAGAGGTACTTGAAGGGGATGGGATGAAGTGAAGTACAGTTCTACAAGATGTACCAGGGTGCCTTACGGCTTCTCTTCATGCCAGGAGATCAGCAGAGAGATCCGCACTTGCGATCCGCAACTCGCACGCTGCGGCGGCCCAGAGCGCCCGGGCCAGTATGCTTGCTCAATGTGGGCTATGTACAGTGCCACTGTCGGGCACAGGCCCCAGAACAAAGCAGCTGCACAGCTTGTCACGGACATTGCAGCTTTCGGCAAGCCACGGCGAATAATTTGAGTGGAGTCTTGGGCACACATCGCAGTTCTTCCAGTTCTCGAGAACGAAACCATGACGCAAAGCCGTCGATACTTTGGGTCCAACTCCACCGCTTGGAGCGTCTGTCATTCCTGGTTTTCAGGCACCTGCTCACGCTTCATCCAAGCCCTGGCTCGCCATCATCATCGCCTCAAGCACCCGGGCGATAGTCCTCTCCAAAACATTAGCGGCAATGCTATGTGACGCTGGAAGGGCAGTGACAGGCATGGAATCCTAATTCTAAGGTGTTCTCGGCCCGTGACTGTGGGAGTTAGGATTAGGGCCATTAGGGGGGACCCTTGGATGTAGACCCTCTCAATTCAATACGGTCCCTTTTACGAGTTCGGTTAATGTATTCGCAGCTGCTTCCTATGTGCAGCTTTATATGTAAAGCATATACATATAAAGCAAATGGAAAATATTCAAATGGAATTGATGCAGTCACTCGCAAAGCACTCGTTCCTTTGTTCTCTGGCGGGAATGCAGATCGTGCTGTCCGAGCAAGGAATGGACCTTGCAGTGAAACTGATCTGCATGTTTCCCCCATCCGGTGAGATCTAGGTGCATCAAAAGGCACCGACCTGTCACCGATGAAGGAATGCAGAAAGGTCATGCTTCTTAGAAGATGGCCACAAAAGGATCGCTGGATGCAGGTGCAAGCATCAGGAGCCAGCAATGCAAGTAAAGTTGTGACCCCAAGAATGCAGATGCCAGCACTGTACTCCCCAAACAAAGGGAAGAGGTGGGTGGGACAAATTTTTCAGCCTGCGATGCAGGCGAGCTGGCAGCTGCGAGCCTGCTTGCTGCAATGTACATGAAGTATCGTGAAATGCAGCAAGCATGCAAAACATTACCAAACACTCGTGAGCAAGCACACATACCGTTCGGTTAATGTATTCGCAGCTGCTTCCTATGTGCAGCTTTATATGTAAAGCATATACATATAAAGCAAATGGAAAATATTCAAATGGAATTGATGCAGTCACTCGCAAAGCACTCGTTCCTTTGTTCTCTGGCGGGAATGCAGATCGTGCTGTCCGAGCAAGGAATGGACCTTGCAGTGAAACTGATCTGCATGTTTCCCCCAAATGCAATCTGCCAGAGAACCGAAGTCGCGCATCAATTCCCCAAATGAAAAACGTGCGACAAGGTGATTAGAGTGCTGCTCCCAAAGGAGAGCTACTCGGGATGCAGAAAGACGGCTTCCAGGATGGAGGCGAAATCGAAATCGAAGGCGAGGCATGCCAAAGTGCCTTCAATGAAATGCGACGCCGTCGGGAAAGGCTCCAACGAGCTGGCAAAGCAGCCGGTGGAAGCCAGCGACTCAAAAAGTCTGCTTCAGTGTTCT